ATCCATCTTGCTGTAAATTCGTGTGGAAGCTGATAAAATAATGTTCTTGATATTTTTCTACTTTCTTTCTTCGAAGTAAAACCCGACTAAATTGTTGCTGAACGAAAACTCATTTTTATATCATTTTGAGTTCAAAAAAGAAAAGAAAAAGATTTTGTCCTCACTTTGGTTCGGGCAGGCTGCAAAAAAATATTTATTCAAATAAATCGAAGATAAATACATTTGGATTCAATTATTTATCATTATAACAACAATTGCATGAAATTCATCTTGTTTATATATTTCGTTTTACATTTGAATGCATTTTTATTCATTTAAATCGCAAAAGCACATTCAATATATGAATCGCAAACTCATATTTAAACCTTATTGCTCATGCATTCCATTTCAGAGAGTGCAATTACACAAATATTACCATAACAAATGCAAAGCATAGAGATGTCTTTTTAGAGTACTTCAAGAATCTGCTAGAAAAAGAAAAAGTATTAATAAAAGAAAGTTGTTTTTAAAATGGTTGATCAACGGGATTTTTATTCATGAGATTCCTTTAACTGTGACTGTAATAATGAGTTAAATATTCAAAGAAAATTTTCGGAAAAAGAAGTTCTGTTTATACCTATCAATTTCTATTCTCATTTTGATTGGAAATATGTTTGAAAAAAAAAAATCCTGGATAATTTTACTATTTTTAATCAAAAGAATGCTGAATGAGTGGAGAGTTTAAGATGAAACGGAGACACAGTGGATTTCATGATTTCAAAATCAGAGATCGCTGAGTCGCACTAGTTGTCGCTTATCGTTGAGATTTTCGGTAATAATTAGTGTTCTTCAATGAATAGCACCTGTAAATTGATGTAAAATTTCAAATGAAAATTAAATAATGTGAAAATAATCAAAATATCTTGAAATAAACTTAATTTTTTTAAAACGACATGTAAAATACAAAATAAGATCGATCAATCTATCAAAAATAATCTTGAATTAAATTTGGAGTCCGAAATTACGCAAAAAATTGACTTTTTCGTCTATAATTAGCTAACAATTTAAAATACTTACCTCAAAGTTTGGTGAGTTGCGTGTGTGACACATTGGACACTCGTAATTTTTATTCGGTACTTTGTTAGTTTTGGTCCAAGCAACACCGCATGTCTTGCATATGTATTCAGCTTTCCATAATTCGTCTTTATAGACTAGTTCTGTTCGTGGTCTAGCCATATTGAATCAATATTTCTGATGCGAAATTGTCGTGAGGCTGTCGATGTGATTTCTCTATTTTCAACTTGCTTTCTTCGAAGTAAATTCTGACTAAAATTTTATTGAACAGTACTTCGAATTTATAATATAAAATACTGACGATTTTGTTGAGACTGCGATTGTACGAATGTTTGCAATCCATATTGAAATATTTACATAAAATTGAATTCGATTTTGATTTATTCACTGACGATTATAAAAAAATATCATCAATATAAACATAATACAACAAAAGCGGAATAATGTTTTGACTACATCGATGCGCATTTTCATCAAAGTCAGCTTTTTAGAGGAAGGAAAGATCTAGGAAATCGTTTGATTGGTTAAAATCATGAAAAATCAATATAAATGACTCATGGACAATTTTACTTTTGCTTCAAATGAAATGGGCTAAATTCTGTTTTTTGTGTTTATCTCCGCCCAAGAATAGATATTTCTCTACAAATGATTTCTTCAAAACTCACCTTGCATCTATCTATTCAAACTGTCTTTTCTTGAAAACAAAATTTTGATTGTCAAATTTTATGGGGCATACATTTTTAAATATGTTTATTTTTGGGACATTATGTGGAAAAAATCAAACATTAACAAGCATTGAAAAAAGTTTAATTGGCAAAAGATTTCTATTATCTTATTATAGCACTTTGGTTCCGGTTATTGTCATTGAAATATTGTAGAGATTGCAATAAATGAATGTTTCTCATGATAATCGATGTAAGTCCCAATGAGTATGATAGTAGAATGCATTACAGCCATTATTTTTAATCGGGAAATGTTAAAATACATCGTAACTGTAAATCAAGTTTAAATTCTTAGTTGTTGTTGTGCATCACAAATGAATATTATTCAAAGTGCAAATCGTATACGCATTATCTATCCTCTTGATATAAATGTGCAAATTCGATAAAATGTTTTTTTACCACGCTATAGGGAGCTGTCCTTTTACCGCATTTGCTGCAATTACGGTTTATGCTTGGGTTTTCGTTTATCAATCTGGTATCGTACCATTCATGGCCACATACCGTGCATTTGTACTCCGCATCATAAGCTTCGCGTGAAGTTTCGTTCGGTCTTGAGCTCATGGTTATTTTCCGCGATTTTCAAATGGTGCTCGTTATTTTGATCAACTTGCTTCCTTCAAAATAAAAAACGGACTAACAATGTATTAAACGAACCTTCAAATGTATATCATTTTGTGCCACAAAGAGATATGAAAAAGTTCAGACACTAAGAAAAAATGTCACGAGCACTATTTGCAGTCCTCAAATGTATATACAAAGAAATATTTAAATGAGTCGAAAGTAAGCATGGTATTATGAAAACAATTGAACCAAACTTTTCTTTATACAATCCCGTTCAATTTTGATACCTCATCAAAAATGCAAAATCAACCTTCAATAGCGCTTTGAAGACGGTTTATTTCTCATAACACCGATTCTTATAACGCCGATTCGATAAAAGATGTCATTTGTTTTAAATAGAAACTTTGAGTACAGTTTCTTTGAAGTGATAAAATTGCTTACCTCTTTTTATGGAATTTCGGATGTACTGCTTGGGGCAAACCTTCTTTCAAGATAAATAAAATTGGATTCATTCATGATACAATTGCATAAATATTGTCTTAGCATAAGTAACCAAAATTTTTTTTCAATTATTTATTTCATGCAAGACATTTGCCATTCAAAACAGACAAATTCTGGAAAAAAGAAGAACAGTACTTCGAACTAAGATGATAAACTTTCCTTGTCTTTAACTTGAAAGGTTTTTCTTAAAGCAAACTTGAGTAGATTTTCAGAAAAAAGATTCTTTTTATTAAAACTGTCTCTATATTTTACTAACAATGTCTTCATCGAAAATTTTTGTTGTGATATTGTTCACTATTTAAGTAAGAAAGAATTCAAACATTAAGGTGAATCAAAATTTAGAGCCAAAGAAAATGAGTGAGATGTGATTTTTTTAAAGTTGTTTATGATTAAGTAAAACCCAAAACAAATATTTTGCTATTTGATATTTTCTATGCCGAATGTCGCTTGTTGTTCACAATTTGATTTATGTCGCCAGACTGCAATGAGTGCATTTTTATTAATGACGCATTATCTGTAAAATGAAAATTGTATAAATTGCCATTTACAAAACTTACTTAAAAAATTATATTAGTATATAATAGTCAATAAAGAGTTCAAAATGGATTTAGTCGATCGATTAAAGATAACCTTAGATTGAAGATTGAATCAAAACTGTCAATACAATTACTTACCTCATAGTATGGAATATTGGTTGTACGGCACTTAGGGCACAGACGTCTTTGATCCATCTTTTTATTAGTTTTTTTCCATTCATGGAGGCATGCGATGCATTGATATTCCGCTTCCCATTCCTCGTTTCTACCACCGATAAATTTTGGTGGTTCCCTCGGGTCTGAGTGGCCCTTGTCCCAATAGCTCATACTGACTCTTCTATTTCTGCTCGAATTGGACTTTTTGTGTAGAATATGATTTGCCCAATTTATCTCAGCTCATTTCATGCGCAATAAAACTCGACTAAGCTATTATTGAACAATACCTCAAATTTATACCAATTTGTGTTGCAAAAAGATATGAAAGAGCGTTGATGTAACTTCAGATGTGAAAGGTGCAACGAATACCTGCTCAATTGCCCATTGCTCCATGTGAAAATGAAAATTGCCCATTGCCCAAATTTAATGAAATTGGATTCGCCCATGATTATAATCGTCTGAAATTTGTATTGTTTATATTTTTCTTATGGCTTATGAATCGGAATATATTTCATTAAACACAATCATCATTATCAAAACAAAAACGATTCGACCGATGTTTTGGCTACACCGATACACTTTTTCAACAACTACAGTCATTTTTGATGTATAATCAGCATTTTATCATTTAAACCCATCAATACGGATTGATTGATAAACATTTTTTGTTTTGAAAATACGATTTATTCAGTACCATGATGATTCATGACATATCTTTGAATTTTTACTTTCAAACAAGAAAATTATTAGAAAAATTTGCTTTTTTCGACAGATTTGAATTATTGGTAGCTCTCTGATTTAATCTTATCCAAAGTCATATTGTTTTTTCTGATCTAAATGAACAAATGTATTTGATATCAGAATAAAGTCTCACTGGTTGCAGACACATTGTTCACTGTTGATTTTTCTGATCTGATCTTTTTTGTAACCAGGGATGGATGGCGGTAAAATTCATTCAATACTTTCTTATATCAACCCAAATACGGGATTGGTTCGATAGCCAGTTGGCATGTTAATTCACTCAGCTATCCATCAAAAAGCATCAATCCAACGATTCGATATATGCCATGAATTCTGTCACTAAATCACTCTTATTATAATTTAAAAGCTAGATTAGCTAGCTAAAAACTGTTTTGTTCCGAAAATTTGGTATTTTTCATAGAAAAATAGTATTGCATGTAGTATTTTTGTAATTTTTTTACGGCATAAAGTTAAACAAATTTTTCTCTCAATTTTTCATCATCCAAAAACAAATATTCAATAATGATGGGAAAAAACGTTTAAATTCAATTTCCGCGCATCGTAAATGCCAACTTCATGTTGGTCAAATCGGTTAAAATGGTGTCGCTGTGTACTAAATGCTTCTCAACATCGGTGCGCATAGGTCTTACACAGTGCGTGTGTGTGTATGCGTGAGTGAATTCAAATTGTTGAAACGAAAAAAAAAATTCTTCAACTGTCGTCGCACATACGTACTGGCTTGTACACCGAGAGCAGCGCAACACCACATTAAATCATATTCGACAATCGCGTTCTAATAAAGTGCCTCTCTCTCAGTATTTTGTATCGTTCTGTCGTTTGTTTTAAAAAAAACATTATTCTATTTATTCGTTTAATATATATATTTATTGTTTTTCGCGATAAACAAACAAAATCAAAAAGAAAAAAATTGTGATTGAAGTAAGAGTCGCAACGAAAAAAAAAGACTCTGGTTACAAAAAAAAGGGTAGACAATCATCGTCGACAGAACATAGATCGCGGTGTTGAAATTGAGTAAAAAAAAACATTTTGATAAATTTTTCGGAAACTGAAGTTTCTCGGAATTGGTGTGAGATAAAATAAAAAGCAGCAAAAATGAGTAGCAAACAGGAGGACACGACGAGTGAAATTCCATCAACATTGTACGATAAAAAGGCCAACGTAACATATAAGCGGCTGGGATTCTTTGGCAAGGTAAGAACAAAATCCATTTATTTTTTTTCTGTCATTGTCTCTGTTTCGGGCCCCCTTTTCATCCTTTTGGTGATTCGGCTATTTAAATGGAACATGGTTATGCGAATGTGTGTGTGTACGTCATGAAACTCGAATCGAAGAGAATACAATTTTTCGTCTCAATGACTTTGTGCACTTGCATTTTATTTAACGGGATTGATTTTTGTGTGTTTTTGCGGTCAAAACAATAGCTGAAAGATTTTCTTTTCTTTTTTTGTGTTAAATTTACATCTTATTGCATGGATAGAGTTGATCTTATACAATTGCATTAATCATATACACCATTCGGCAAAAATTCAGTTGGACAAATTCAAAAAGTCAAATTCACAATCGCAATGATGGTTTTGTGTGAGTGCGAACGAGATAAACATAGTCGTTTCGTTAGTTTGGTATTTCGGTTTGACACATGCAATGGTGAACCGGTCGCGCATACAAACAATTCGATATGTGTATCACGCATACATATACTGTAAGAGTAACACACGAATTGACTGTATGGAAAGCATTGATAGAGTGAGAGCAGTGCTTTGTATTGATACGTAACCTCACTTTATTTAAAAAATTTGCCACAACGGACAAATCCGTTGGCACTAACAATACAGACGAACGGGTTTTAAATGACTCTAATGAATGTCAACGACACTTTGAATGTAACGACAAATGTTGATGATGATTTAGTGTATTTAAGAGATTTCGCGTGAAATTTTAACAAATCCTCATAGAATCACTAACATTGAATCGCTATTTTCTTCATTTTTTGCGATAAAATGCTTTTCTTGCGACGAACGAAACTTTTTAGGTCTCTTTCTGTATTTTTTCATCAAAATTCCACGCAATTCTCGTCTCTTATTCTGTGCTGTAAGTTGTCTCACCAAAAAGTAGTCCAATAGATAAAATGTCACATTTGTCTCCGTCTCCAAATTTATACATTGAAGTTTCATTGAAATGTTCGTTAAATATTCTGTTTTTGTTTCGTTTCCTTTCCAACGTCGTACGACATAAAAACAATACAGGGTGGTTTTGCAAAATGCTACGAAATCCAGGATGTAAAAACAAAGCACACATACGCCGGTAAAATTGTGTCGAAAAAATTGATGATGAAACACAATCAAAAGGATAAAATGACGCAAGAAATAAAAATTCATCAATCGTTGCATCATGCGAATATTGTGCGATTTTTGAGTTTTTTCGATGATACAAACAATGTGTACATTGTATTGGAATTGTGTAAGAAACGTTCAATGATGGAATTACATAAACGTCGTCCAACTGTCACCGAATACGAATGCCGTTTCTATATTCATCAAATTTTGGAAGGTGTTCGGTATCTACATGACAATCGAATAATTCATCGTGATTTAAAATTGGGCAATTTATTCCTCAATGATCATCTGAATGTGAAAATTGGTGATTTTGGTTTGGCAACACGCATCGAATACGATGGCGAACGAAAGAAAACATTATGCGGCACACCGAATTATATTGCACCAGAGATTTTAAATAAAAAAGGTCATTCGTATGAAGTGGACATTTGGTCAATTGGTTGTGTTATGTTTACACTGTTGGTCGGTCAGCCACCATTCGAAACGAAAACATTGAAAGATACATACACAAAAATTCGAAAATGTGAATATCGTTTGCCACAATATATGCATAAAGTACCAGCCAATTTGATAATGTTGATGTTACAATCGGATCCGGCCAAACGTCCATCGGTACATGAATGTGCCAAACATGAATTTATCACAAACGGTTTCATACCAAAAGCATTGCCCGACTCATGTTTGACCTGTGAACCGCGTCTCGATCAATTGGAAGGCGGACGAAAGGAACTTGAATACTTGGCCAGCGATCGAAGACCATTGTCAGAGCTCAACAATGAATTTGGTAGGTCATTTTTGATTTTGAGGAGAAAGTATTTTGAAACTTATGAATTTTTTTTAAATATCATTCACAGATGGTCAGACTACATTCTTGCGGAAACATCTCAACGATCATATCACCGCACAAAGCTCGGCCATCAAGAATAATCGAGACTATAAGAATGACGTCGACAATTTGTACTTGCAGTTAACGCAGTTGTTGAACGATAAGGTAAGTGGTAGCAGTTGCTAAATGTACACTTTTCCATTGAATTCATTTATATTTTGTTTTCTTTTGTGTCTCTTGATAGCCGGCACGTTTCAATGAGAACTTGGGCGATGAAAATACAGATCCAGCAGCAGCTCCATTGTTCTGGGTATCGAAATGGGTTGATTACACCGATAAATATGGATTCGGTTATCAATTGTGCGATGAAGGAATGGGAGTGATGTTCAACGACACAACTAAATTGATCATGTTGGCCAATGGAATGTAAGTACCTATTGACGCTCTGATCGGTTTTGCATTCATCTTTTTGTGGTTTATAAGTCTTCGAACAGATTGTAGTGGTCATCATGGTCCTTGAACCAAATATTATATATGTCTCTTTAGAAGTGATTTGTACGGCAGGATTGGAATATACCCAACGTCTTGACGATACTCTATTTTTTCAGTAGCTCTTTTGTGTCTGGAAGGAACTGTATCAAACACTCGAAGACAGTGTCGACTGAATATTCATATATTGATAATTCACATTTTCATGAGTAAATTATCTGCTCTAGCATTTTTGTTGCCACTTTGGCTTTAAACACAGATCTGTTTGGTTTGAGATTGGGAGAATGAAGAAATATTTTTATAGGATAGGCAGACAGACAGACAGACAAAGAGAGAGAGAGAGAAAGAGAGAGAGAGAGAGAGAGAGAGAGATTGAGATAGAGAAAAAGGGAGGAGAGGTAGATGAAGAAAGAAAAGGGGAGAGATAGAAAGAAAGGGGGTAACAGTGATAGAATGTGTGAGAGTCAGAGAGAAGAATAATAGAGATAGTAGGAAAGGAAAGGTGAAACGAGTTGGTCTATTGATTTCATGTGTCAGAGTCGGTTCATGAGATTTCCTTCGAGCATTTTTTATCTTATTCAAAAAAGTAGCCTCTTTCATACTACTCACAGGGGAAAATATATAGATTTTCAGTAAACATTTTTTTTGGATATCTGAATTTTTGCATTGATTTGTGAAAAGAATCACTTTACATCGAAAATGTATACATGTTTCTCCTGTGTATAGTCCCAATCAAAAATACCGAATCTAATAAAAATGTATTTTCTTATATTCCAGTAACGTGCATTACATCGACCGAGAGGGTAGTGAACAGTACATGACAGGTTCAACATACCCCGTCGAAATGGAGAAAAAGATGAAATTGTTGTCGTACTTCAAGCGTTACATGACTGAGCATTTAGTGAAGGCTGGTGGTAATTCGGTGCGTGATACTGGCGATACAGTGTCTCGTATACCACATTTGCATACATGGTTCCGGACAACATGTGCTGTTGTAATGCACTTAACAAATGGTTCAGTTCAGGTATTTTCAATTCAACATTCCCAAAAATTCCAACTCAAATGATGTCTAACAATTGTTATCGTTTTTATTTCAATTTCAGTTGAATTTTTCGGATCACATTAAAATCATCTTGTGTCCCCGTATGAGTGCTGTCACATACATCGACAATAAATTCCGAACATATAAATTCTCGACGATTTCAAAATTGGGTTGTTCGCACGAGTTGTACAATAAATTGCGTTATGCACACGAGAAACTCAAAAAATTACTCGAAAAACTCAAGTGACGGCCACATCAACTATATCCATGTACATTTAAGCACCATTCATGATTTTTTTTTTATTAAACTCAAACACAAAAAATACACAATACACTACAATAACAACAACAAAAGTCCGATAAAACTGTAACTGATGATCAACTCTTATATTATTCTTATATCTGTATTCATATTGTTCGCGTTCATTTTGTCCACGTAATTAGTTTTATAAGTACATCAAAAACCTAGAACAAAAAAAGTTTAACTAGAAAAAACACATTAAATTTAGTCGATCTATCTAGAAGTCTCGCTTCATGAGTTAGACATAAAATATGCTCAAGAATAAAAAAAAAACACAAATTTTAAATTGTCAAATCAAATGCCAATTCATTTGCATGAGAGGAATAGTTGTGGGAGTTCGATTTAGGAAAAAAAAAATGAAATAACAAATATATAAAGCAAAAACGAGAGAAAACAAAACCAAATGTCTATCGTAAATTTCTTCGGTTAAATTATACGTGTTTCGATTTGATGAAACCGTTTATTTGCCCGGTGCCAAATAAACAAGTTCGATTTCATTCGAAGCACGGTGTAATCTTAATTAGAAATGTTCTCTTTTTATTTATGCTCAATAGAAAATGAGGCTTATTCTTCTTTTGTTTTAAGAGAGCAATAAAATGTATTAACGAATTTGTCTAAATTATTTAGATAAAATATGTCCGATTGAGTGCTTCGTTTAGTAGTTGTGTTTTTTTTTAAATGGAATTAATATGGTTTTGAATAAAGAAACATAATTTGAATAAAGAACCAGCATATCTGGCCTCAATGATAATAATCAGTTCGCACACGTCAATCCTTATAGCATTAAGATGATTAGGACGATAATGAATTTGTATCTCGAGAAAAACAACATTAACAATAAAAACGCATCGATAACATTTAATTAAATTGACATTTTTGGGCAAATAGCCATGTGAATGAAATGGATTGATATTTTATAGAATTTTTGGTACATTCCCATATAACTCATTTGCGGAGTAATTTTATCGATGACGGGACTGTGCGGAGTTCAGCGGAGATAGCATGCAAATGCTGTGTGTACGAGTGCAACAGCGTTCTTTGCTGTTCATAGATTTATTTTGTCCAATCGTATATCTTAGTAGCCGTACACACAGCTAAGTTACTAATAATCTGCGTAAGAATGATACACATAGAAGTGCTGTTACCCTCGTACACACAGAGTTTGTATGTCATCTCCGCCAAACTCCACACAGTCCCGCCACCGTCAAAATTACTCCGCAAATGAATTATATGGGTTATGACTGTTATTGAACTACTTCAAACTGGAGCAGAGAATTTGGACTGGGTATGGTACTTCATTCGCAATTCTATTAAATCGGATATCTATATTCAATATTCATTCAATATTTCATTCGGTATTCCCATTCATCATTTTCAATTGATTGAAAACGCGTCAAGTAACCAAAAGTCGACGAACGAAAGTCGAACAGAAAAAAAACTCTATTGATCGATAAAATAGAGTATCTGGCCTTTTGTTACGCGTACATACCATTCCTCCCCTCAGAGAAACAGTCTATGCAAAAAATACTTCACCTTACACACTAGGTGTGGGCGGAAAAGTAAAAATAGTGTCCAATTCTTTCAAAAAAATTGAATCTGGTGTGAATAAAAATGCAAATGATTTACGATTTTTTTCTTCTTTTCTTCATTTCATAATGTTCTTATTTCATAAATTTTCTCATATCAAGCTTACAAATAAACTGATTTGTATTTATTAAATTACCTCTGTTTCATGTAGTTGTATTTCAAATCGTATTAAATGTAAATATGGAAACTTTTGGTAAAATTTCCGATTTTTTTTAATTTTTTTTTCTTCATTTTTTGAACTTCAGTTTAGATTTTCTATATCTTTTTCTATTATTAAATTTTATAATATTTAAATAAAGATTCAGTTAACTGAAGTTCGACTGTGACTAATGATAACAAACATTCTTACGGGGAAAAAAAGTGAAATCAATAGAAAACTTATTATAAAATTTTGCCTCAAGTCAACGGAAAAAGAAAAAAAAAACGTTTTAACTGGTAATAACGAGAAATAACATGGGTGTTGACATAAAAAAAATGATTTTTGTTGTTGTTAAAAAACGTTAAAAATAGAATTGTTGAGTGAGTGTATCGAACGACGATTGCTTAGCCGCAGTACATGTTTGCGTGTTGTTTTTCACTGCTGCCACTTGTCGATTGGCTGATCACCGATTGCCGCTGGTAATTTGTATGAAACCATTCGACAAAGTCATCTATTAACACCGGCCACGCACCTTCTGCGTCGTAATTAGACATGTTGTCATCGATATGCGCCGCGAAATCTAACAATAAATTCCATGTGTCCTTCGGGATAGAGCGTTTGTGATTTTTCTATTGTGGAAAAATGATAGCGAGAGATATGAAAAAGGGAATTTAGAAAGGGTTGAAGATGGAGTAGAACCAAAGCTGTCATTGATACAACGGAGATGTGGGGGTACTTTTCTTGTATTCAGGACCCGAATTTTATGTGCGTAACTTGAAAAATTCTATGGAATGATGTGGGGTCGCACTACTCTGGTGCCAATAATAGCTCTGATTAGAACAGAAAATGGAAAACAAGTTTTGACAAGTCTTACCTTCAAGAATTCACACCATTGATCCAGAAATTTGAATTGACCTGCAAATAGAGATGGAGAGAGAGAGAGAGAGAGAGAGAGAGAAGGTTTGAGTAAAAACTTTAAAATAAAACGCATAATTTCCCACTTACCTTTTAGCACAATATTCCAGTATGCGATGGCCATTTCCAGATCGATGCCCTTTTGTGTGTCCTCTTTTGCATAGTTGAATGTAAAATGATAGAAATCTTTGAATTTATTCGGGTCACATAATTCATTTTCTAGTGATGGTAGTTTTGATCTTAAACTATCTATACTATCTATGCCTAACTCAACAAAACCGTTAACAAATTCGACTTTTGTAAATTCACATTGTGTTTCGGCGCGAAATTTCCACGCAATAATCAAAACCAATTTGGATGTTGGATCGAGTCGTAAATCGTCCAAAAATCGGCATACACCATCGGTTGAGATTTTTGTCGGATCATGCGGATCTTCGTATCGTCGAAATAGCTGTTCGACTTTCTTGTGGTCTAAATCACGATAGTATGTTTGCGGTTGTTGAAAATAATTATCGCTCGCTTGGTCTAATTTCCATTCGTTGTTTTGCAAACAAAAAATTGCCGTTTGTTCGCCCGTCTGAGTAATGGCCATAAACTTCTTCACCTTATCACGTTGCGATGATTTCAACTTGTTCTGCGAAAGAGAGACAAAAACAAATTGAACGTGTGACAGCAAAAAATAAACCCATATCAGACACAACAGACAAATATTTTTTTGATTACTATGGATTTTAAGTGGGTTTGTTGCGTGTGGTAAAAACCACACACCATGCAAAATTTCAACACATTATTGTATAATTGGAAATCGCATTTTTTTTCGCTCGTAATCCTTTCTACGAAATCATTTCCTGATCACACACATTCAACTGCGCTTTTTTTTCTTCATATTCACACATGATTATGTCAAAACATTCGATTCGAAATTTTTTCGATTTTCTTTCGTCACTTACCATTTTTGAATAAATAATTCACGTCTAGAAATTTACAAAACTATATTGGCTTTGATGGGAAAAACAAAATAAAATCAACAAATTGCGTGTTGATTTCTGCTATTTCGACGAAATTTAATGCTTTTGCTGCTGATATTCTTCTATTTGCAAATACAACACCAAAATAATACTATTCTGTAATCAAGACGTTTTTGACGTGAACTACCAACACGAAGTTGGTGCTAATTTAACGCATCTGTCTAATGAGGGTCTTATATGTTTCGGTTCAATTTCGATCAATGGTGAAATACAGGGATTTCATTGTATTTTCGAGGTAAATAAGTTTATTTATTTTCGTGAAAAAATGTTTTTTGTCGGAAAATTCGATTATTTTCGGAGTTTAGCAGAGGAAAAAAGAATTGGAATTGAAATGATCTTTTCTCAGTTATAAAGACCAAACGGCTTCAAATGTATCGATTCCAACCGTATTCGCATTGCAAGTGTGAACCGAACCATATGCGAGGGTATATAAGCACAAACGACATGACAGCTCGTCCATTTAAGTCCGTGACTTTTTACCGTGTATTACTATTGCACTTGGTGAGTATCAATATGTGTGCGACAGAAAAACCGAAAATAATTTGATTTTATTTCGACCATCCGTCCATGGAATTGCACAATTTCATTGAATTCGCGTAAAATATGTTCATAAAAATTGAATTTTGTAAATATTTCGAGGAATTTTTGTGGATTTTCCGTGATTTTCATGAGCCAACAATAAATCAAATTATTTTAGGTTAGAAATTGTTGTGTGCTGTAGCAAATTCTTTTTGGACGATTTTTTTCCATAAAAATCCAATTTTTCCGTAAAAATCTGTTGATATACCATAAAATCTCTGCTAATTAATCTGTGATTGTTTTGGTTGTAGTTCTTAAATTTCATCGGAAGTCCTTACACGAATCATAATGGGTAGGGAGAACAAGGCAGCCTGGAAAGCTAACTACTTCGTTAAAGTTGTTGTAAGTATCTCCCCCACTCACACCAAAGTCCAAAAAAAAAAAATTCTTCTCTGATGCTAATTGTTCTGTTCCGTGCAGCAACTTTTGGATGAATATCCAAAATGTTTCATCGTCGGTTGCGACAATGTTGGTTCACGCCAAATGCAAACCATTCGTACATCATTGCGTGGTTTGGCCATCGTATTGTGTGGTAAAAATACCATGATGCGCAAAGCCATCCGTGGTCATTTGGAGAACAATGGTTTATTGGAAAAGATCTTGCCACACATCAAAGGCAATGTTGGTTTCGTTTTCACCAAAGGCGATTTGGCTGAAGTTCGTGAAAAATTGACCCAAAGCAAAGTTCGTGCTCCAGCTCGTGCTGGTGCTATTGCACCATTAGATGTCATCATCCCAGCCCAAAACACCGGTTTGGGTCCAGAAAAGACATCTTTCTTCCAAGCTTTGTCCATTCCAACCAAAATTTCAAAGGGTACTATTGAAATCATCAACGATGTACCAATTTTGAAACCAGGTGACAAAGTCGGCGCTTCAGAAGCTACATTGTTGAACATGTTGAACATTTCACCGTTCTCATATGGTTTGGCCATTCAACAAGTGTACGATTCGGGTTCAATTTTCTCGCCAGATATATTGGACATTAAGCCAGAAGATTTGCGCGAAAAATTCATGGTTGGTGTTGCCAATTTGGCAGCCGTTTCATTGCAAATTGGATACCCAACACTTGCATCTGCACCACACAGCATTGCCAACGGTTTCAAGAACTTGCTCGCTTTGGCCGCTACCACCGATGTCGAATTCAAAGAAGCCACCACCATCAAGGAATACATCAAGGTACTATACAATAAAAATTCATGGTTTTACTCATTTTTTATGCACTTTATTCCATTTTAATCTCATTATTTCACAAATTCACACTGTTTTGTTGACAATTTTGAGCAATTTATTGTTATTTTTCGGATTTTTGAGCTTTTTTTTTTTAGAATTTTCTTCATAGAAACTATGTAGTCGTTTACAGTATTGCTTAAATTGAAGACAGTGAATTCCCATGAAAACTGCGAAATGTTCTAACGCAAATTTCTTTTTATCTTTTCAGGATCCATCGAAATTCGCTGCTGCCGCCGCCGCTGCTGCCCCAGCTGCCGCTGCCGAAAGCAAGAAAGAAGAGAAGAAAGAAGAAAAGAAGGAGGAATCCGAAGAAGAGGATGACGACATGGGCTTCGGTCTTTTCGACTAAACGTCTCCAACATTGGCTTGAGATAAATGTATACCCAATTGCCAAATGGTTTATGTAAATACTCGTCTGGTGTGTTTCGGATATCACCAATGGCGACATGCATAAATTCATTTTCATTTTTTGTCATTTTATCTCACGCAACCAAACAAACATTACAAAAATGTTGAACAAAATATAATAAAACTGATTTGTACGTTTGAACATCATTGGATGTTTTTTCATTTGAACAACTTTAATAAATGTACAAACTGGCAAAAAAATTGTGCTTTTTTTATTCAAGATTATTATTTTATTTTTCCTCAGAAACGTTGCCATGAATCATCATGGGTCATTATCAAATATTTCAGAAAAAAGTTGGACTTTTGAAAATGTAGAGAATATCACCAAATTCTGTTTGTTTGTTTGTCGAACATAACCTCACTCATGCGTGAATCGTATTGCATCGGTTAACTCTTGACAAAAGCCATCACATACGGTTTAATCACTGACAGCTGTCAATGTTTGTTCTTGTATCAAAGCTAGAAAGTAAAGAAAAGAAGAAGCATCAAAAACACGGCATTCCTGGTGAAAGTGAATAAAAATTGATTTAAATTAAAAATTCTGTGACTTTTCTTTTTAAAAAAATCCCAAAGCATGGCTGATGCGGCAGCACGTCAGCTGCAATATGAATATAAAGCGGTAAGTTTTCTGCAAAGAAAATCTATTTTTTTCCTCAAGCTTGGCACCTAACCTCAAATCATGCCAAGCATTGTTTATATACGTAGTCAAAACGTTCGTCTAAAAATGTCGTAAAATTTTCAGAATTCAAATTTGGTTTTGCAAGCTGATGTACGTTTGATTGAAAGACCGCGTCGTGATGAGGCCACCGGTGAGGTGTGTTCGTTGGTTGGTAAATTGGATGGAACACGAATGGGTGATCGATATCAACGTTCAAAACCCGAAAAAACCGAAGAACGTAAAGTAAAGCGACAGAAACGTGACGAAGCTCAATATGATTTCGAACGGATGAAAGGTACCACACTTCTGTCAGAAGGTATCGATGAATTGGTTGGCATTATTTATCGCCCAAAAACCCAAGAGACACGTCAAACATACGAGGTGCTATTGAGTTTCATTCAAGAAGCAATTGGCGATCAACCGCGGGACATTTTATGTGGTGCGGCCGATGAAATTTTGGGCACACTCAAAAATGATCGGCTCAAAGATCGTGAGCGAAAACGTGAAATTGACAATTTGCTGGGCAGTGTGACCGATGAACGATTTGCTTTGCTGGTAAATTTGGGAAAGAAAATCACAGACTATGGATCGGATTCGGTGAATGCAATGGGTACCGGTGAGGGAGGCGACCAATTGGATGAGACGTACGGCATTAATGTGCAGTTTGAAGAGTCGGAGGATGAAAGCGACGAAGATGTTTACGGTGAAATTCGGGATGAAGACGGCGAAGATGAAGGAGAAGAAGCACGTATTGACCACACACTACACGCTGAGAATGTAAGATAATTTGATTTTTTTTTATTTTTTCGATTTTTTATTTTTTGTTTTTTTCGACAGCTTGGCAATACAAATGAAGAAGGTGGCGGTCATAAGAAGGAACGACCATTGCATCCGCATGACATTGACGCGTACTGGTTACAAAGATGCTTGAGTAAATACTACAATGATGCCATGATCTCGCAGGCAAAGGCCAATGAAGTGTTGAGCATCCTGAAGGAGACGGGCAGCGAAAGTGAATGTGAAAGCCGTTTGGTATTATTGCTTGGTTACGATAGTTTTGATTTTATAAAAATTCTGAAGAAAAATCGTGAAATGATTTTATACTGTACACTATTGGCATCGTCACAAAGTGAATCAGAGCGTAAGCAAATTCGCGAAAAAATGCGTAACGATGGAAATTTGGCGAAAATTTTGCGTCAATTGGAAACGGGTAAAAATGATGACGACGAAGATGGCAGTGCATCACGTGTACAAAAGCATAAAACTGATGCCGATGAAGGCGGTGTCAATGGAGCTGGACAAGTTTTGGGCCAACGTCAATTGATCGAACTTGATGAACTGGCATTCACACAAGGCAGCCATTTTATGGCGAACAAACGTTGTCAATTGCCTGACGGTAGTTTTCGCAAACAACGCAAAGGCTATGAAGAAGTTCATGTGCCAGCATTAAAACCAAAACCATTCGATGACACAGAGTCATTGCAACCAATTGAAAAGCTACCGAAATACGTGCAACCCGTTTTTGAAGGATTCAAAACATTGAATCGTATTCAGAGCCGTCTGTGGCGTTCAGCATTGGAAAGCGATGAAAATATGCTTCTGTGCGCTCCAACTGGTGCGGGGAAAACAAATGTCGCATTGCTTTGTATGATGCGAGAAATTGGTAAGCACATTAATGACGATGGTACAATTAACACCGATGAATTTAAGATCATTTATGTAGCACCGATGCGATCGCTGGTACAGGAAATGGTTGGTAACTTTGGCCGTCGTTTGGCAAGCTACAATTTAACCGTTTCCGAATTGACCGGTGATCATCAATTAACACGCGAACAAATCGCCGCCACACAAGTCATCGTCTGTACACCAGAGAAATGGGATATTATCACACGGAAAGGTGGCGAAAAATCATTCACATCACTTGTCCGCTTGGTTATCATCGATGAAATTCATTTACTACACGACGAACGAGGTCCAGTACTTGAAGCACTTGTCGCCAGAACAATTCGTAACATTGAAACAACACAAGAAGATGTACGATTGGTTGGACTATCGGCAACATTGCCAAATTATCAAGATGTGGCCACATTTTTGCGCGTCAATTTAGAGAGCGGACTCTTTTATTTTGACAACAGTTTTCGACCGGTCGCATTGGAACAACAGTATATCGGTGTTACTGAAAAGAAAGCATTGAAACGATTCCAAGTCATGAATGAAATTGTGTATGAGAAAATTATGGAACATGCCGGTAAAAATCAAGTACTTGTGTTTGTACATTCGAGAAAAGAAACCGGAAAAACAGCTCGAGCTATCCGGGATATGTGCTTGGAGAAAGACACACTGGGCAGCTTTTTACGCGAAGGATCGGCCAGTATGGAAGTTTTACGATCGGAAGCTGATCAAGTTAAAAATAATGAACTGAAGGATTTGTTGCCGTATGGTTTTGCCATTCATCATGCTGGCATGACTCGAGTTGATCGTACTTTAGTCGAAGATTTGTTCGCTGATCGTCATATTCAAGTACTTGTTTCCACCGCCACACTTGCATGGGGTGTTAATTTACCAGCACACACGGTATGTAGCACAAAATTTTAGCAATTTGTTGATTTTTTTTATTTTATATTTTATTACTTATTTTTTAGGGGTTTTTGTTCCAATTTTTTAGAATTTTATAAATGTTTAGAAAATTTATAGCAGTAGTCGAAATTTTACATAGCAACAATTTTTAAAGAAAAAAATCTCATCAATATTTTTCTGAAAAATAGAGATTTTTTTCTTTAAAAATTGTTGCTATGTAATATTTCGACATGCATTTTTCATTCTTTTCACTCATTTTTACATTTTTTGAAAAATAATG